AGGCGGGCAGCACCTGTGCAGAAGTGCAGGATGGTACAGAGCGGCACTCAGTCCCCACCCATACCCCCTAGGGCCTTCTCAAGTACCCCCAGACCTATATAACCATAGGCAGGCAAGGCTCTTAGTATAGATGCAATATCCTTTCCAACTACTCAGTTGGTCTAATAAAAGATATTACATCTACTCAAAGAACCTTGCCTGCCCATGCCCTTAGACCAACACAGCTACAACCAAAAGCCCAGCTATATACCATAGACACTGCTATGTTAATGAATGCTTAATCTTTACCAGCTGAAGTCAAATTGAATTCCCATAAATATTAAAACAATAGGAAATTCAAAATATGGACAAAATTAAGTTAGCATGCCCTCTTTAGGACAAAGAACTTCAATACTGTTTCATCCGCGTCTTGCGTTTAGATGCATTTCATTTTAATAACAGGAACACATAGCTGCATTTAGAATATCTGCAGCGAAGACAGCTCTCTGCACATGTGCCACACAGCTGAAGGGGATGTGGCTGAATCCATTGCCATAATCTTGGATACCAGGATGCCCGGATGCTCCGAGCTCATCAATTGGTCAGTATAGGGTCTGGCCAGAGCCCGTGCTTTTGCACAGTTCCAGGCCAGGGGAAGGGAAAACAGCAGCAGCACACACTCTGGGATCTGCAGGAGCTTTAAGACAACCAGTAACTAATTAATCTAATATTTATATTGTAAAGTAAACCTTTTTAAAGGTTTAAAAAAATAAATAAATACAAAAGCCATATTCTGGACTCTTAAAAAGTCTTAGATAACAACACTGAACTAACATAGTTATACTGTCTGTTTGTTACAGCAGTTTAGTCCACTTCCTATACCACTGGCATAGCACTGGACAAACAGAACATTTATATCAGTTCATCTGATATGCACTCACGCAGGAAATACTCAAAATGGTCCACAGTTTTAAGACACCACTTTTGGACAGGATACTGCACGTAATGAACAATGTCAAAATCAGGTTTTAGTTTGATAACTGTTCTATTCTACATTTTTTTTAAAGATGTAAAAATATGGACGCTGTATTTTGGACCACGATGTTCTGAAAAGTCTTAGAGTGACTGACTTCAGCACTTCTAAGAGAACAAGCATGAATTACTACATGAGGCTTCAACTGCTTGAACCTGAATCAAAGCTCTAACAACTCGTGGTTGGTTTTGGCTGCCTAGATGTAAAAAACAGGATCTTAGTACAATAAAATACATAGAGTACAGTAGGAATATATAAAAGCAGTATCATTCATTTCCAACTGGTTTACAATGTTACCCACTTAAGGATAACCTGCACAACTGATTGCAGAATCAGTACCCTTTAAAATAAGCCAGTGAATAGCTGGAGCACCTCAAAGGTCCCATGTAGCTTTTTGCTGCAGCTTTGTATACCACCAGTTACTTTGCCAATGCTCACATTTGTAAGTGATAAGAACCCTAACCCTGTGAAGTATCCAGTTTCTACTGTATTACTTTTATTTCTATAGACTTTTCTAAAATAGCCAGATAGTGTAGTAAGGACTGACTTAAAAAGCCATGAGGAAAGAAAAATTTTGTCTTCAGAGCAGGATTTGCAAAGCATTCAGTGAAAGAGGACAAAGAGGCTAAACAATGAATAATGAGAGAACAAAACATTGGAGTGCTGCTGACTCAGTGAGTACAAGCTACCCTGTGCTTTCAAAGAGGCAAAAGTCCTATGAAAAAATAATGTGTGACCACATGATTACTCCATCATAATGCATGTATCCAAATTAAGTTTGCAGAAGAAACCTTAATTCTCATGTGTGCAGTCTCACTCATGTAGCTCTGCACTACAGCAGGCTCACTTGTATGTACACTATCCCCACAGGGTAAGTCAGTTCACTATTAGGAGGCAAAGGAGACCCAAGAATGCCCAATACACAGAGAGACTTCAGAAATTTTAGGTGCTTAAGTAGTCTCTACTGGTCATGTCTGAACTTGATTTTTCAAAAATTAAAAACTTAGCCGAATCCGGGGGGGATTTTCACAGGGATGACTGAAGACCTCTCTCTAACACAAAGGCTCTCTATCAAATTCCAAGCTCTTACCCCTCAACAAGCAGGTACTACAACTATTCAAAGCAAAAGGCACTTAGCACTTTGACAGGAACAAGACATTTCCTCTAGCACCACTCTCAGAAATGGATTAAACTATCTGGGTGCATTATCTGGAAAATTTCAACCTAGGGCAGACAAGTCAGCATGTAAAATTTCAGCCTGAACATTTAAAGTTTGTCATAGTTACCATGACAAACTTTCATAGCATCTGAAAAAAAAGGCTTTACACTAGGAAATGTCAGGCAACCCAACAGACCTGCTACCAATACCTTGAATACTGCATTGTTTTCAGGAGGTAAATAATTCCATGTGAAGATTAGGTTTATTACATTTTACTAATAAAAGGCATTCCCTTTTCATTTGTAACATGCATGATAAATACAAATCTATTTTTCCCCATAGATTTCTAACTTAAAAGGGAGGACGGGTAGAACGTCGAGATTCCATATTATAAATAATACCAGCTTAATCTTACAAACTATTACAAGACATTAATATTCAAATTCTAGAATGCAGCAGTACCTTCTGCACAGATTTCTGTAGTTCCTTTCTGAGACTGTTGCATTCTTTCTTCAGTTTTTCTAGATCCTGTTCCAGACTGTGCACTTTTAGGTCACTATTCAGCTTCTCTATTTCCCAGCTAGATGGGGTACAGTTTAGATTTCTCATCACTATAAGAAAAGCAATAAAGATTGATTGCAACCCTTACTATAAGGCTTGAAAATTAAGTCATCTAGGTTGAATACCCACACAAGTCGAAAAGGAATCAGATTCTTATTGTTTTCATTAATGAGAAGTCAGTTTAAAAAAATGTAAGTGTCCCCTCTTTAATAACACACACGTCAGTTAATCAAAATCCATGATTCCTCATCTCCTTTTATTCCCCCATATCTAATGCTTCTTGTACAAGGAACTTATTTTGCATGGCTCAGAAAATAGCGTCTTACAGCCCCATGTCCCTTTAATTTATTTCACAGTATTTTCCAGCATAAGCGATGGAGAAGCTAATAAATGTCTTAATGCAAACACAGATTGAAGGAGTAGAAAATAAGAAAGGACGCAAATCAGGTCTAGTATCAAATAACAGTTGGGAGTTAAAATGTGCAAATGAAGTGTGCAAGCTTGCATACAGCCAACAACATCTGAAAACATGAACCTATTCCCTGTTAGTTTTACACAATACTAAAATTTACTAGTTCTTCCTGATTACATTTAATGGGCAACCCCAAGCAGAGGTGCAAAAGATGCTACTGAGCAAAAAAGGTGTCACACATCTTGATTTAAAAGAAGAGAAAAAAAAAAAGGAAACCATACACACTATCCAGGTAACTTACGTAAATTAGCTAATAAAAGCCCATTCTTCTCTGACCCCCAAGATCATCCTAATATCAATTCAGTTCTTGACAAAAATACTACAAAATGAAGCATTCTGACAGTATAGTACTCCCATAGCAAGAATAATTATCAGAATAAGCAAACATGGAAGATAGAATTTGAAAAGATTTTGAATCAAGTTTCTAAACAGAATTATCATAATGTGAAGAAAAATAATTTGCATATAGTTAGATGACTCATTAGGGTGGGATTTAAGCCATAACTCTGCAAATTGCCTTTTTTAAAAGCATATCCTACTATCCTCTTATCCTTTCTAAATAAGGTAGTATGATCCAGGCATGGAAGATATAAACTCTTCAATGTGTCATGTATATGCCATTTGTACTTGGGATTTAGCCTTCATAATGTCTGTGTAGAATCTGAAACCTCAGACATATATATATCTTCCTATGCCTCAACTTTAAAAACAAGTTTTTACCTTGTTCTCTTCCTCACACTACATTACTTTAAAAATATAAAGTTCTTGAAAAGAGTTACCTGCCTCATCATAATGCATCCTACAAACTATTCTCCTATTGATTTGTAAAAGACTTGTGCATCATTCCCCAGAATGGTGAAGAAAATGACCTGTTATTCTGGTCTATAAATATACCCTATAAATAAAACTCTTCCCTGGCAAGATAAGTAGTATTAGGATGAAACCAAAACAATTTCTAATCTCTAATTTGATACCTTCTTCATCTCTAAAATGAACTAGTATTTCAGTATAACTTCCTGAAACAAGATCTTGCAAAAAAACCAAGAAAGAGCTACTGTATCCACAACTGTTACAAATGATTTGAGATTAGATGCTATGAGCAAATGTATATTTAACAAGGAGAAACTGATTATTTTCGCGCATATACCCCGCACACTGGTATAACCCATACCCATGTATAACCTGCGGAAAATTGCGTTTTCGAAAAATAAGCCATGCATACCCCGCACCCGTGTATTCCCCGCACCCCCGGGCGAGGAGGTGCCCCTGGGCAAGAAGGAGATGGAGGGTGAGGAGTCCAAGCCAAGCGGCGTCTCCCCGCTGGGCCCCAGAGGCACCGCTGGGTGTCCACTAAATGCCCCGGCAGGTGGTGGCCATGGCGGTGGCCCCAGGCGAGGAGACGGAGGGTGAGGCCCCGCCGCGGCCCCCCAGCCCACCCGCGCCACCGCCCCCCGCCCTGGCAGCACAGCCCGGCCTGCCCAGGCCCAGTGGGGAGGCATCACTGGGCATCCGCTACATGCCCTGGCAGGCGGCAGCTGCACCTGTGGGCGAGGAGCCGGAGGACAAGGCCTGCCGTGGCCTCCCAGCCCGCCTGCACCACCGCCGGGGCCCAGTGGGGAGGCGCCGCTTGGCTTGGAGTTGCCTGCATAGCCCGCACCCATGCATAGCCCACACCCACCGTTTTTTATTTTTTTTTTGTAAAATTGTGCATAACCCATGGGATATATGCACAAAAATACAGTACTTCTGCTCTTCATTTAATAAAAGTTATTGAAAAAATGGGGGCAGTGAATATGTGGCATACCTATCTCAGCTCTCACTTGGAAGCTGCTTGTAATGCAACAAGCCAGTGTGAAAATTAACGTATGTAGAAACATACAACATGCTAACTGAAGATTGTCCATTAGAGTGGACTACGCGATCAGGCTCAGCAAAGGAATCCCAGCGCTGTACAGTCTAAAAGCTCTTGATGTTCTGAACTGCATATGCTGACACATTTACAGTCATAAGTTCAAGCAGAATAACCAAAAAGCATACCCTGTTGAGTTTCCACTTCAGTTCTTAGCTGTAGAAGCTCTACTTCTTTGGACTGCAATTGCTCATTCAAGATTTTCAAGGATTCTGTGTTCTCTTTTACCTAGTTCAAGAAAAGCTTGTCAAGACTTGCGATACAGAGTCTATCAGTTCCGTTTCTTTACAGCAAACATTTAAAATACTTGAATGCTTTTTTTGGACTGGTTGCAATATTAAATCTAGGTCAACAGGAAAAAAGGTACATGCAATATAAAACTATTCAGTTTTCATTTGTATGCACAACTACACCAAAGTGTATTTTACATTGCTATAAAAGTCTAAACAAGTGACAACATGCAAGTCTGTAACAAATAGAAAGAATCCAAAACTCCCTCTATTATATATTTACTGCTAGCACTTTAATTGTATGACATACATCAATTAACTCGTTACCTAAATGGACATACCATTTTATCCAGTTTGCTTTTCAAATTCTCCCTGTCAATGCAGGCTTCTCGATAGGCCTGATAGGCCTTGTTTACTTGCTCACATCCAACTGAGCGAGTTTCTTCTTCCAATCGGGAACCAAGGAGCTAAAGTTTAAGAAGCAAAAAAAATAATCTTCATCTGAATACCTTTAACATTCCACATTTGCCTAGCAAACCATCGTTATATATTAAAACTAAAGGCATAGTTTCATATTCTGGGCCACTAACTCATGTCATGTAATTTTTTATGAAACAAAAAGTTTAGAAAGCAACTATTTATCTAGTCTCATCTATTCACACTAGTCTCATGCCAGCCCCTGCCATGCCAAGAATGCAGCTGCTGGGTCAGCAGGCAAAGCAATTGAGTTTATAGACAGGAAAAGAGAGAGAAAGAGCTCGTGCATGCTCAAGTACATACAAGCTGGAAGGTCAGGGTGTAGAAATCTATTTATAACCATCTCAAAATACAAGGTTTACAGGCCAGATATCAGTCTCTTGATCTTTCAAAGAAGCATGTGCTCTAGAAGTACAAACTGGGCACAGAAGCACTGATAATTTTGTAAAAGCACTTAACAGGAGGAGAACTTGGTTTGCAGGAAAACAACACCCAGATAATTGAATAGATTCTTTGGCCTGTAATTAAAGTTAGATGAGATAATAAGGGTCCCTTTGGGATCTTAAAAATCTATTAAAAGATGATAACTGGGTTAAGTACTGGACAGCTCTCTCCTTAGGGAAAAATTCCAAAAATCAGAATATTTATTTTCTCATGTTTAGATTATTTGGGGAAATAACCCATGCTGTAACATGACTCTTGCTGTAACAAGAGGTAGCTGCTCTGTCAATTCAACAGTTAACTAAGATTGCACACACCCATGAATTACTTTGTGGTAGCTATTATCTGGATCAATCCAACCAATGTGGATATGTGCACATACCTAGATGGCTGTTACTCAAGGATTCAAGAGTTTACTGTTAGGTGCTCAAAAATACTGAAGATTAAGTTGCAAATATGGATAGCATTAATCTTGCTTTAAAATGGAATCGTGTATGCATGCAACTCAAGCCCAGAATAGCCCTGCAAGAATAGCTTTATATAAATATTTTTTATCATACTACCAGGAGCATACCTAAGCATAACTTTCTTTAAAACAGACTCTTTATATGCATGTAAAAAATTCTATATTGGGTTTTCATTTTCCCCAAACTGAAATGATTGTAAAGTCACTCAAAACAATCCAGTGACATTTTATGGACTGTTCCAGCTCTTGAAAGACTTCATACTAGCATCCCAAAGCTGTAAAACCAAAAAATACAGATATCTATTTTGGACTTGTTGGTAGAAGCTCTTAAGAACAGGTGTTAAATTTGACATATTAGTTCTCTGAGGTTGCACATTCTAGAGTATTTGTTCAAACTTAGCAATTTGAAGGTAAACTTGGATTCAAGTTTTCCTCCTCCTGACCCGTGTCAGAAGGAAACAGGAAAGCAATCACATGCAGGAAACTTCTCCCCATGCTTTTTTATAACTTTTAGTGGACAATGCATTTAAATGTTTCTATTCTTTCAATTGTTTAAGTACCCTCTTTAATTCTTCATCAGTAAAACACAATTCATCCAGAACTTTAAGAAAGGTATCTAAATGTAAGTACAGTAAAAATTGCCTTAACCAGCACTTTACAAGCTGGCATGCTCTATTAACCGGCACACCTGCTTGTAAGGTAAACGTGAAACCAGAAGTGCCCACTGTGGCACTTCCAGTTTTGCCGAGCCTACATGGCCCAGGGGAAAATAGCCTCCGCAGCCAAGCCCTCATGGCCCGGGGCACAGCAGCCTGCGTGGGGCCCACCTCCCTGTCCCTCGGGGCCCATGGGGCCTGTGGGAGGGTCAGCGATGCCCCAGGTGCGGCAGGAGAAGCAGCAGCCCAAACAGGCAAAGACACCTGTTTGGGCCTCTCAATTAACCAGCATATTTTGTTATCTGGCACCCCCCATTCCCCATGGGTGCCAGATTACAAAGCTTTTGCTGTATTTGAATCAAATGAAAATCCATAAGCAAACTATTTTAACCATACTTGTCCCCAAACTTTGAAATTTAAAACTCAAAGACAAAGGGATGACAGAATATTTCTCACCATCCAGTTATCCTAGCCACCAAAATAGATTGGGCGCATCCAAATGAGTGCAGCCATGCGATATGTGGTACCGCAAAACAGGGCTGCAGCACCACATACTGCACAATCTGGTGTTCTCTGTGCTGCAAGGATGCACTGCCCATACAAGCACTGCTCCGCTTTTTTTCCTCCATGGGTTTTTTGACCCCTGGATATCCAGGGTCCCTCCTGCCCCCCCCCGCCCCCAGGGGTGCACGCAGCAGAGAGCTAGCCCCACCCACATGAGCCCACAGAAGGAAGGAGGGGGGTAGAGCTGGGTTTCTTTCCACTGCAGCAGCTGCTGCCTCATGGGGGGGGGGGGGGCGCAGCCAGGGGTCTGTGGACCCAGGTCCCTGGCCCTGCAGCCCTGGCAGCTGGAGGCCCCCCCTCTGGCAGGGCTGGGGGGTGGGACAGAGGAAAACAAGTGTGACTGGGAGGGTTGTGGGGGGGGGGGAAAAAGGGGGGGGAGGAAAGGGCCTTTAATGTTAATCACAGATTTCATGATTTTTGTCAGAGAAAACCAGGATTCTTGCTTGTCGGGAAGACTTTTCAAGGCCCAAATTTCATGGCTAAGGGACAGATAAACCATGCCACGGCTTCTTTGGAGCAGGATCTTATAAAGCTAAATTGGAGCTAGACTTCCCCAATTTAGACTGGAAACAAATTGGAAAACCCAAGAAAAATGTACACTTGGAGTAGCTTCAGAAGGAGAGCATCGGCTCCCCTTCCCCCTTTGAAGCCTATCCAAGTCTCCCACAAACCAGAAGGTAACAATAAATGACCTCCCTCATCCACCTCACGCTGTTTAGAAGGAAGCAAGAAAGCACAACTGAAATAAGAATAACGGTATAGACTATAGACAGATGTAACAGTTGTAACAATATTAAAGGATACTGATCTGCTCTGGTGCAACTTTTATGTGTGCATTTTTCTGTAGAGATGCAGGCAGAGCAAAACTGTTCCAACTTCAGTCTGCTTCATTCAGGGTCGAAGTTAGGGCAATTTAGTTAATTTTTAATATAGCAGGATCATACAGATGTAACAGCTACATCATAACAGTTGCTGTGTGCGCTCAGGCAGCAGCTCCTCTCCCCTTTTAAAGTAGCAAAAGTTTGTCCATTCTCTATAAAATCAAGGAGAACTAGACTGCATCAGAGAAAAGTAAAACATATCTATTTAGGGACTAAGCATACTAAAAGCTTACTATGAAATAGTATTCTTATCTAAAGAATTAATTGTATTCCAACATGACTCATCCATTTCATTATTCATTCAAAATATCAAGGACAAATTAGTCTCACCATTACAAGGAAATATGTGCAATATTTTTTTTACCTTTTCTTCTAAGACTCTTACTCTTTTCTTTAATACTGAGTTCTCCTTCTCAGTCTCCTTTAGTCGTTTCTTGATATCTTCATAAGCAGTAACAAGGGCAAAATGTGAAGCAACAGACTCATCTCCTGTATACACTGAAATAGGAATATCTGCATCTCTTCTATGAGCACTGTCTGCTTTTTCATGTTTCAAAATATATATGTCATCTTCTCCTGGCTCATCCATGACAGCTGTTTGAGAGAGAGAGATAATACTGTTAAATTCTCACCAAGATACACATCAAAAGCAGCAACAGGTTAGAAGCCCAAAGGTTTCTGCAGGATATTTTTTGTTTGTCTTGTCTTGTTACTTATGATGACACCTTATATTTAGAGAGAACAAGGAATCCATTTTTCATACTAATGCTCAAGTTATTATGGAAACACCCGACTACATCCACACTCTTCATGCCGTATTAAGCCTTATAAATATCAGCTTTGATTATTTGCTGTGTTTTTCTTGCAGAGTCTTAAACATACGAACAAGATTATACAAAGATAATGAACCATAAACTTCTAAATGCTGTTCATGAAAACTTGTATATTCCAAGTAATATCTGCTGGAACTTTTGCAAGTCAACAAAAAAAAATTGAACTTTAATCAATTTAAAGACTATAAGAACTTGTGTAACACTAAAATACCAGACTGTCAGCATCAAGAGGAAAGTTTTCTATTTTTGCCCAAGGAACTCTTATTATTGAAAAATATACCTATACCTTTTCCCTGCTACAACCATAAATACATATCCATTAACAAATTCAAATGTGACAATACTTATTATAGTCCTTTTATTCAACTGTGGTGCCACAGTAGACAGGGGAACAATTCCTGATTTTGTAACTCAGTGAAGAGATGCATACTTACATAATGCAATGCAAAATTTGTTCTAGCATGTATGGAAAAATTGGCAGTTGCTAAGCTAGGTAAAGAATATCTCCCTAACAGAATATGGATTCCATCTATGTAACAAATGAAAGATACTTTTTTCCAAGAATATGTATTATCCTCAAATGGTGAGCTTTACAATGCAGGTGCCTCTGGCTCATACTGGAAGTGGGGGCCACTAAGTCCCCACTGGGAACTGTCATTCTGCCAGATAAAGGATGAAAAGCTGAGCTTGGAATCACCTTCAATACATGTATCACAGGCACTTGAAGCAAAATTAAAAAACAAAAAGTCTAGTACCTCTGTTAATACATAGTATATTCATGAATATTCATGTGTCTTAGGGCAAAGTAACCATGATCCTTCAGAACATGAAAAAGGCACAAGTGAGGTTCCAAAGCATACATCAGAGCACTAACACAAATGAATAGGAAATGGTGCCAAAAATGTCATATTGGCTGTTTTGAATATAGAGTCAAACTAACAGCAAGGTATACAAAGAGAAAGTTCAATTAACACAACTCATTATGATTGAAAAATGACCACACAATGCACCCATGAAAGACTTTTCAAAGTCTTTCTGTATTTTTATAATTTAGCATTACAGAACTGAAACAAGTATTAGCATATATTCAGAAGACAGCTGCAGGCACACTTTACAGGGCAGGAAAGAAACCTCTCTAAGACATTATTTTGTAAAAATGATCACTACTGTTATTTTAATTGTGCTAGGCATTGTAAAACACACATACAATGGCACTGTCAACATCTCAAAACAGGTTACAATCTAATGTTAAAAATATCTATCAAAAGACTGACAAAACGTGGAATAGAAGGGAAGAGAAGGGAATAGAAGGGAGAGAAAGAAAAGGGTAACCAAAAAAACCCCTGCAACACATGAAATTGTGGCATATTCTGCTTAATTTTTATGCAAAATAATTTCAAGGAATTAATTTAGGTCTGTTTCTGGATCCAGGATTACCATCTTTCTATTGAAACTGTCAAAAAGTGCCATCTGTACAAAAGCATGCAGTCCTCAATAAGAAAGGTATCATGATAGATTCATTTTGCAGTGGACAACTGACCCAAAACTCAGTTGTGACATGTATCTGTTACTGCTATCCAGATCAGTTTGGGATAGAAAAAGAATCAAGGCTAAGTATAAATTTAACATTACTGAAGGTATTGGAATAATCAGTTGCTGAGATTATAGAACAGCTATGCATTAATTTATGTGACTGCTTATTATTTCTTGAGAAATATTTAAAATTAGACCCAAGTTCTAACCCCAGGCATATACCAAGATCTTATTAAAAGCACATAAGAACTACGTGCCCATACCAAAGACAAGATTTGGCCTTTACTCTCTAGGATTAGCTTTCTTATAAAAACTACTGCTGAAACAGCACAAAAAAAAGGGCTGAAAGACTTGTGCTTCTCAGCATGAAAAGGTCCATGCTCTGAAGCCATTTTATTTTCATGGGAAAGCTTAGGCTGGAGATAAAATTGGGCTGGAGAGCCCTGCAAGGCTATTTTTTTAAAATAATGAGAAAATAAAATGGAATTAAACATATCTAAGAAGCTCTTGCATGGAAGTTTAGTGATACAGCTTTACTGCAGTAGTAGTGAAATGACTCACAATCCTGTTACTCTATTATTTTTTAAGATAGTGATGGAAGATCTGATGTGTGAACAGACAAAAGTCACTGGAATGTTCCTGGGTGATATCAGGGATCCAGGTTTTCTGTTTGCCATGGAAAAATGCAGATTTTCTCCTTCAAATGAGAAAGATGCAGGAAACCACGGATTTCTGCTTGCATGTGGGCAGGAACCTGCAAGGGGCTGTTTGGGGCTGAAGGAGTGGGACATAGGGGTGCCATGTCCATGTGTGGTACGGGCAGACACCTGCATGTGGCCAGCAATGCAGCCAGGTAGCAGTGGAGAGCAGCTCCAGCAGCTGCCTGCAGGTTAAGTCTAGGGCTGGGGGGGGGGGAATAGGTGATGTGGGAGGGTGGAGCAGGGGGACAGATTGAGGCTCCTATGGTGAGGAAGGGATTGGGGCAGGGTTGACTGCTGTGGCTGGGGACACTGCCCGGCCGAGGCAGTATCCAAGGTCCAGAGCTGAGGTGGAAATGTGTGGCCACAAGGCACAGCTGGGGAGCAGGTCAGAACTACAGACAGCTTGTCGGGAGGCTGGTGGGAGGGGCTGACTCCCCGCTGTTTTGCACACTTCCAGGGAGATTTGTGCATGGGACAGGGGAGGATGTGGGCCATCCGCTGCAGGCTCAGGGCTCTGTAGCCTGGGCAGCTGGAGGGCTCCCCTCTGGCTGGGCTGGAGAGGGGGTGGATTGTGGGTTGGGAGTGAGGGACACTAGCAGCACCAGGGGCTGCAGGTCGGGAGTGAGGGGCAATGACATGGGCAGAGGCAGGGCACTGTCATAACAGGGCTGCTCAGTGCAACAGAGCAGTGGGGCAGGGACAGCCGCAGCTAGAGCTGCATCCTGGTGAGTGAAGGGGACAGAGGAAGCTCTGATTTTCTATGATTAAGAAAAACCAAAATCAAATGCCAAAATATATAGGTATTCAGAATTTATTTTATTATAATGATTGAGGCACTGGTAGGCTTCCAAATAGCTTTAAAATTGTAAATATATCAATAAGACATTGTGTTCAACTGATACCTATATACATTCTTCCATTTCACAATCTTGGAAAAACAGAGATTTTGGGGTTTTAATTAGAGAAGCTGGGATTTTTAAACAGAGAAAACCAGGAGCCCTGGTGATTGTACGTATATTAGTCACTATTCTCAAACCACAGTCCATGAACCATTTGGCGGTGTACAGAGTGCTTGCTGGGGATCACTACAGAATGTATTCATCCCAGAATTTCCACTCACTGCGTATAGTGGTTACATTTAATGAAACAAGATACAACATGATAATTTCCCCATGTCAACAACTGCTCTAACTGCTATAGAGCTGTTGATAACCAGTGGATAAGGAGGTGATGCACACGATTAAGACTCCAAAAGAGTTTCTCTATTGACTGGTCCATAATGCGAAAGAATAGGAAGGACTCGAACCAAACACTTCAGCTGAATCCACTGTTGTACAGAACCACAAAAATTTAAATCAGGGCTGGAAGGGACCTAATACAGCAGTTCGTTCAATAGAAGGTAATTTCTGCCTAAACACCCTAGACACACCTTTGTGTAAGCTTCACATAAGACTTGCCAGAGGTAGATATTCCACAGTCTTCCTATATAATTAACCACTCGGAGAGTTAGAAAGTTCTTCTGAACTTCCAAACTAAAACTTCTTTTGTTGTAATTTAAGTTCTTTACTTCTTGTCCTGCCCCCAGTGGAAAGGAAAAATAGTTATTTGTTTCCTTTCTAACAACCATGGAGTTCTTCTAACAACCATGGAGTTGAAGCTTTGTTTTCCTGCCCCTTCTTTTCCCTCCCCACAAGTCTTCTCTTCTTCAGACTATAAAAGAAAAGAAGTGGGAATTTATTCTAACATTTCTATTTTATCTGCAAATAAAAACTGTCTTAGCTTTTCTAGCAGAAGTTTTATAGCACTAATTCACATACCAGGAAAGTCTAAACATTTTTTTGGCCGTGGCACAAATGCATGTTAAGTTTATATCAAATTTCAGAATAATGTACAATTAACAGAAAATATCTACCTTGTGTTCTTTTTCAAACAGTTTCACAGATATTAGTCAACAACAACATGCAAGTATTTTTAAGTAAAATAAACATTTTACAGATAAGGAAACTGAAAAAGAGCTTAGGTGAAGTACTTCAGACAATAATCATATCTCCTCTCTCTCTCAGCCTTTATTTTGCTAAATAAGGCTGGTACTGCATTCTCTTGATTAAAGGTAGAAGCCCTTCCACGACCCATTCCAGTTTGAATTCATCTTTCTGGAACGTAAGGAACTAGAATTGTCCAAGGTATTGCCATATAAGGTATTAACAGCATCTCATAAAAAAATAATTCCTTCCATACCTCTACTAGAAATACCTTGCATGATCTACCCTAGTTTTTACCTCTTCAAGAGCTACATTGCACTTATGGCTCATGATTACATTGCGATCAACTAACACACTCTCTCTCCGTCAGTTCCAACCGACAAACTCCCAATTCACAGCAGAAAACTTTGCTTCTAGTCACTACACACATTTCCACTTTGTTCTGTCACATTTCATTTCTAGTACTCTAGTCCTCAAGGTCCTTTCTCTCATATCTGTGTCAATTCTATAACATCAGCAAGATTTCATTAGAATACTTCTATTAA